ATGTCATACTGATGTGAAACAATTCAGACCAAATCTGTCTCTGTCTCTGCAACCCAGCACAGCTATAAAATTTGGCATTCTTTTGGCGCTCTTATTACCATTTTTTTGAGCACTCTTATACTATCTGACCGAGCGCCAAATCTTGAAAGCACCAAAAAATAAGGCCAAAAGTTGGCGATCTTGAGTTTTTGCTATCGTTGATCGACTAGAACTGTAAGCTGCAAAAAATTTAAAGCACGAAATTTTCCACCGATTGTTTTTTGCAATTTAAACCCTTTAGTTAAAAAGATTTTTTTTTTGATTTTTTGACACTCGTGATACAGTTAAATTGGCGGTAAAAGAAGAGTCGATAGTAAAAGTGTAAATTACAGTCGAATCACTCGAACAAAAAGAGCATTCAAAATAGAGCTAATTTTTAAGATCATCACCAATCATCAGCCTCAGGTCACATATTATTTCTCACAGCACAGATGCAGTCTTTCTTGATTCTATTTGATCGAGCGCTGGCAACTGTTTCGGTTTAGTTCTGTCTATTGTTGTTTAGAATCTGGTTGAGTCAATACGTTTCCAGTCATCTGATTGTTTGTAGGGAAGACCGCGGAAAACTAAAACACGAAAACCGACCAATTCAGAAAAAGAAAGAACACGTTTTTTGTTTCGAGAAAGAGTGAAATTTTTCATCTTAGCAAGAATTTTAAGCTTTTAATTTTAGTTTGACTTCTTTTTTTAACTTAAACGTTTTTGAAATTTAGATAACTTTTTCAAAATTACTCCGAGTTATTTCAATCAATCTTAGTTTTGGAATATCGAAACAATGAAGTCAGTCACTTCTTAGGCATCGATCCAAAAAATTTTGCCTCAAAAAGCCCGTTTTCCACATCTACTTACATTCAAATTCTTTTCGTTACCGTATACCGGCTCTTTTTTTCGTTATCCAGCAAAAGCGAATCGTCTTTCGATAAAAATTTTTCAACATTTTTTTATTATTTCACCCACCTTTGTTATAATTCAATAATTTTGCAATAAAATACAGCCTTTAAAATTTTTTTGACAAAAAGTAGAATTTTTGGAAAAAAGCAGATTTTTAAAAAAAAACTAATATGCATGTATTCAAAAATCAAATTTTTGGACAATTTTTTTCAAACTGAGTTGAAATTGAATTAATTGTTTTTTATTGAAATACTTCCTTCATTCATGCTGCTGTACAAAAAATGTTAAAAAAATGTTAGCCTTTTGATATGCTCAACTTACAAAAAAGCTGTGAACCAATATTTTGAAATTTTTCAAAATATGCTTTGTTTTTTGGGGCAAATATTTTTAGCTCATATAAGAGGTCGGACTCTCATTTAGACAATTTCGAAATTTTTATGGACCAAGAATAAAATGGAACAAAACCCGAACTCTTCCAAAAAAACTTTTGCGAGCTAATTGTTGGGAAAACTGTCAATTGCCTTTTCGCGCCGTCCTGGAAAGTTTTGACGAAGAATGCATTTTTGGCTTGCGCTCTTAATATAAGAATATACTGGGGCCCTTAAAAACGATGAAAAAAATTTAAAATTGATTCATTGATTTGCTTTCAAAGTATTTAATTTTTCATCCTTTTATCATTAATTTCTTTTAATTGAATTTGAAATATGCGACAATCTCGTATAGCTAACA